TTTGCATTCCTTTGTGTAACTACAGACCTTGTCCCAAAGAACAATGTCATGTGACCATTACACAAATGCCATGTGACTTGCCAGTCATGCTGGTGTGACACAGATTACAGGTATCTTATCTCAACCAATTGCAAGAGGCAGTTAACCATAACACAGAGAAGATTTTCAAATTTTCCATCGACACTGGGATTTGAACTCTGGACTTGCCACTTGGGGGTTGACAACCTGACCACTTCACTAGGTCACCACACCCCTTATTTAAATATCTTATCTTTATAACAAATAATAATAATTAGTATAAATTATAAATAAATTTATTTAAATTAAATTATTTAAATTAATTTATATAATATTAGAGACAGGATTAAAAAATTTCAATTACAGAGACCATTAATATTACATATATATTAAAACTAGTAAAAGATTATATTCATCACAATTAATTTGTAATTGATCACAGAAAAGAGAGATTTACTATAGATTAAGTGTTATATTTTTAAGGTTATAGTTATATAAACTAGACCAATAAAATAAGTTTTATTTAAAAATTTATATAAAACTATACAAAGATAATTTTTTGTTTCTTATACAGTAACTTTAAAATTCTAAAATATTTATAACTACTTGATTTTTTTAAAATAAATTTTATATGAAATTTTTTTTTTTAAAATATTTATTTTTTCTCATTATAATTTGAGTTTTCTTTAGATTTCTTGTTTATTTTTCTTATTTTCTGATTATATTAATATTCAAAAATCCTTTTAAATAAAGTTTCAAAGATTATTTATTAAAAAAAAAGATAGCTGCATAATGTAGTCATGCTAGAAACTGAAAACAAAAGAAATATAGTAGTTAAAAATAGTTCAAGTAATATACAAACAAGAACTGATCTAACATCTTATTAATATATTGCAAAATATTTAATAAACACTATAGGTAATCAACTCATATTAGTTAATCAAACAAAATTTACAAGGCATCATATAATAAATTATCTTTGACAATCAATATTTATTATTTAATTAACCCAATGAAAAATTCTACAAAAAAAGACAAAAAATACTAAATATCAGATAAATATATAAATTAATTTGCATCAGTTTGCCAATATTACATCTAAAATTTCTTTTTTATTATTATTAATTATCACAACTATGATATTGCTTATGTTTTATTTTTTGTATTTAAATTATGCTTTGTGATTACATATGTGAATATACATGCATGTCTATTGATTTATATATGTGATAAATTGTTTGCAAACAGATACCACTTATTTACAACTATAACAAACTGACAGTTCTGAAAGAAAAAAAAAGTTCATTATAGAAAGTTACTATGTTTTCTTAAAGGCAATTGCATTTTTTATACTAAACAATTATAAAATTTAAAAAATTTTAAGTTTACTATATCCAGAGTTCGTTATATAGAGGTTCGTTATATCCAGAGTTGACTGTACTTCATTATTTCATCACTCTGTTTCTGGTAAGTCCATTTTTCTAAAATGCCATTTCACCAAAGTCATAATACCTGTCTACAATCTATTTTACTAACATGTAGAGATGGGCAAATCACGTTTTCTTCAAAAATCCCGCGCATGACGCGCCGCTCAAAAATGCGCAGTTGATCCTCAATTTTGGTCTGCATTATACATAATTTTGGCCGGAATTTAATTTTTTAATTGAAAAAATAGAAATTTTAAGGATTAACGCAGGAACATATTTCACTTAGGGTTGAAATTACATTTTACATATTTACAAATCATGTAATTTCACATAAGTTTTAGCAACATAGTACCAGTACTATGAAAAATTTAGCTAGCATTATTGAACTTCAATAAAGTTTATTGATCAAATCGATGCCAAGGCAATCACATTGAATCATATGATAGAATGATTACGTTTCTTACAAATTATGGTAATTTCCAGTCCTAATTTTCCCTTAATGAGTGGCCACGATTTCATTAGTAAAAATTCGTGTACTAGGAGGAACCGTTGATGTTACACAACTGATTCTTCACCCTGCGTGCTATGTATAAAAAAATCACTATTGCAATACCAGATCATTCCAATTTATTATAATAAAATGGTGTTGGATTATAATCATAACATGTACTAGCGGAATGATCTGGTATTGTGAAATTAATTTTTTTATACATAACACGCAGGGTGAAGAATCAGTTGTGTAACATCGACGGTTCCTCCTGTTCTTTGCCTAACTTTTTTGATCGTTGATCAAAAGTAGTGAATTTCTTGTGTAGCAAGGTCTAAACGCAGTAATTACATTGAGAACGTCCTTGCTAAAAGTTTGCATATGTCTAACTTTTGTTAAATGATTCCAAATATCATGATTACCATGCATGTTAGGGAAGTTTCAAGAACACGGAACCCAGTGATCATCACATCACATGATCAAACACTCGGCCTAAGTTAGGGATAGGGTTAGGTGGTATTTTAATTTAGGCGGCCGATTATTAGTGCTGGTAAACAAATGACGGCTGGGTTTCGTGTTCTTGAAGTGTCCCACATGTTATATTTATTTTTAAAAAGAATAACTTATATTTATTTATTATAACAAAGAAATTTTGGTACGTAAACAAAAGATATTAATGTCAAAAAGGTAAATTCTTATCAAAAATATATCAAATAAATAAAAATAAATTCTAATTTGGAATTAGCTTAATATGTTAATGCAGGCCAGATATTATATTAATGCTAGCCAGATGATATGATAATGCCGGCCAGATAATTTTATTTTTGGATTATATTAAAAATCTCGCACGTGACCATCTAGTTTATTTCACCGACAAAGTAATTCTGGTCATTGTCGTTAGGGTCAGGTTAGAATTAGGGTTAAGCTTAGTGCACTTATTTAAAAAACCTATCAATGAATTGATCTTCGGTGAAATGACAGACCTTGCTAGTAAAATTGATTTTCGGTATTTCAGAAAAAATGGATTTCGGGAAGTTAAATCAGAACCGATTTACAAAACCCGAAATTTCCAATAACTTGCTCGTATTTTATGCTCTACTATTCTGAACTTTTCCAATAATAAGACTTACGTTAATGGGTCACCCGTGAGTTGGCTTACAGCACCACTAATTGGGTGACGATTTAACCCCTGTTGATTTTTTTAATCATTCGGCCTAGATTGATCGACATCACCTGCATTAAGCTAATTTTTTAAGGGTATTGCTATTGCCACCCCCTATTTTTGCTAATGCCGCCACCCTTTATATAATCTAACCCTAATTAAGAATTAGGGTTAGGAATGTTGGAGGCCAATCAGATTAAGCAAGGGGTGGCATTAGCAATTCCCTTTTTTAATTCTAATTCTGTCGATCACGATCTGCACAGAATTCTTGTTGCCCAAAAATGTACTGATTTACGTAATAAAATATTCTGTATTTTTTTTGGCCAATAAATCAGGAATCTTTCATTGAAGATGACGACCAAACAAAAGAAAGGCACGTTTCTCTAATTTTTTGTTTCTTTAAGTTTTATTTTAAATGTTGATCTTTTAATTTTATCCACCTAGGTCCAACGCAGGTTTGACAAAAACCATTCTATTTGCTTTCTCATATTATATTAATATTCTCAATGAACAAATTCTTTCACCACAAATGAATCTGAATGAAAAATAATAGGCAGAATTGATGTTAAAAGCATGTTCTGAAATAGTAAACGAATTAATAACAGCCCATGAACAAAACAAAGATGTTAATCTGAACGGATTGAAAACAAAACATTCAAGACTTAATAAATTATCAAATCAGCCTAAATTGGTTGACATTATTTCAGCTATACCTGAACAGTATAAAAATGCATTAATTGGAAAATTGAAAGCCAAGCCTATTAGGACTGCTAGTGGTGTATGTTTTAAGATAGATATTTTGCGCAGAAACTGTGTATTAGTAAATTGGATCTTAAGTAGCAAAAGAGTAAAAATATAAGAAATTAATATTTTTTTCTTTTTATAAATAGATTGCTGTTGTAGCTGTTATGTGTAAACCACATCGATGTCCTCATATTGCAGTCACAGGAAATGTTTGTGTGTAAGCAAATTTATAATCATATAGGCGAACTTAATATACTCATTCATAATTTCAATTTTTTAATTTGCCTTCTTGGTAAAATTATGCAGATATTGTCCAGGTGGTCCAGATTCAGATTTTGAATATTCAACACAATCATATACTGGTTATGAACCAACAAGTATGAGAGCTATTAGAGCAAGATATGATCCTCTAGAACAAGCCAGAGGCCGTGTTGATCAATTGAAAAGCTTGGGTCACAGTGTTGATAAAGTATTTATCAACAAATTATAATTTAATGTGATGATTATTATTTGTGCACTATAACATTATGATATTATGTATATTTTTTAATACCAACAAGGTTGAATATATTATTATGGGTGGTACGTTTATGTCACTGCCTGAAGATTATAGAAATTGGTTTATTGCCAATTTACATAATGCTTTATCTGGTCATACAACTAATGATGTTGATGAAGCTGTAAGGTATAAAGCATGTCCTTTTATGCCAAAATATAAACTAAATGTAAACAAGGAATTGTCCTATTATAGATATTCGGAGCAAAGTATGACAAAATGTATTGGAATTACTATTGAAACGCGTCCTGATTACTGTTTGAAGCCACATTTGAGGTATTAATGACTCACATGATGTCTAATTAATATTACCATCTATGTTCTCAACTCGTGTTTATTCCTTTTACCTAAAAAGTCAAATGTTACGGTATGGATGTACTCGCTTAGAAATAGGCGTACAGAGTGTATACGAAGATGTAGCAAGAGATACAAATCGTGGTCACACGGTTAAAGCCGTAACTGAAACCTTTCAATTAGCAAAAGATACAGGATTTAAGGTTGTTTCTCATATGATGCCAGATTTGCCCAATGTTGGTATGGAAAGAGATTTGGATCAGTTTAAGGTATCTTGGAATTTATTTTTACTACAGTCAAACCTCAGTTATAGCACCATTAAGTTATATCTCAAGCTAAGTTATATCCCCACTATTTAGCAGAATAAATATCCTATATTTGTTAAATATTGCCTCAGTTATACCTCTACCTAAGTTATGTATCCAAAAACTCTGGACAAAAGGGATATAACTGAGTTTGACTGTATATGATTCCTATTTTATATAAAAATGGTTAATTGTTTATATACTTATTATATAGGAATATTTTGAAAATCCTGCCTTTCGAACCGATGGGCTAAAAATTTATCCAACTTTGGTTATTCGTGGAACTGGTAATAAATTTTATTACTATATAATTAATGTCGCAGCTGAAGATGGAAACGATTGAAGTTGTAGATCAGGGTCTACATTTAAAAATATAAACCACTTTCATCATTAAACTCTATTCTAACTAAACTAGCTAACTATAAAGGGAACAAAAAATGTAGTCTAAAAAATTTTAAAAATTCATATTGAAATAAGTCTAACTTCCAACTTTAGCTTCATTCGCGATGATTCATAAATTTATTTCATCTATATTTAATTTAAAAACTTTTTTTCGATTCTATAGGACTTTACGAATTATGGAGAACAGGTCGATATAAAAATTATACGCCTAACGCATTGGTTGACCTGATTGCTAGAATTCTAGCCCTTGTTCCTCCTTGGACTAGAATTTACAGAGTACAAAGGTATGTATAAGAAATATATTAATATATTACCATGCAATTTGTGTATATTTGATAATGACTTACCAATTTACGAAACATAAATGAAAGGGATATTCCAATGCCCTTGGTTACATCAGGAGTTGAGCATGGTAATTTACGTGAGTTGGCATTAAATCGAATGAAAGATTTAGGTATCGAGTGTAGGGACGTCAGGACTCGAGAAGTTGGAATTCAAGATATTCATAATAAAGTTAAACCCGAAGAGGTTATTTAACATGTTAATATTTCTAGTAGTTTTGAAACATGAGACTATTATTAACTTAATTTCAACATTAAAAGGTTGAATTAATAAGACGTGATTATGTAGCAAACGGTGGTTGGGAAACATTTTTATCTTACGAAGATCCAAAACAAGATATCCTAATAGGTTTATTACGACTTCGAAAATGCACCACTAATTCTCCACATAGTGTGTTTCGACCAGAACTTATTGAATATCCAACTTCAATTATAAGAGAGTTGCATGTTTATGGGAGCGTAGTACCAATGCATAGTAGAGATCCTATGAAGTTCCAGCATCAAGGATATGGAACTTTGCTGATGGAAGAAGCAGAACGAATTTCTCTGGAAGAACATGGAAGTGCAAAAATTGCTGTTATTAGTGGTATTGGAGTTAGAGGGTATTATGAGAAATTGGGATATCGATTGGAAGGTAAGTGGAACGATGTTGATTTTGAAAATTGTTGAATTGATGTTTGTTGTTAATCTTAAGATTATATGTATTTACTTTAGGACCCTATATGACTAAAATGTTGAAATAATCACTTGAAAAATATGTATAGTAGATAAGTCGAATTATTACTGTATTAATAGAATATTTTTTTCACAAAAATTCCCACCAAAAAGGTGCAGTTATTTACTTTTATTGATTTTTTAAAAGTGCTTATATTGGTGTTGTTTGTCGTGTGTTAGGAAGCCAAGAATAACACGATTTAGACAATGCATTACGAGACTTTTTGATTAAATCATATATTAGATATTTTCAATATTGATTTTATTGTTTTTTTTTTTATTTTATTTACAGTATTCATTCAATTTATAAATAGTTCATGATCAAAAGGCTGATTTCATATTTTAAATAAGATATTCCTTTATATTAATATGGCAAGCCGGGTTAAATTTAGTCGTTTGATTGATTTAGTTCAAAGTATAACTTTTATTAGTAGAATAAAATATTAAGCCATTTTTATTATTATAGTCTAATCTGAATTTATTTAAAAGGTTATCAGTCTTAAAGATCTAATTATTATATTAAAAACATTGTGGATTGATTTGAAAGAGTGAATTGTATTTATTCCTTAGTCTGTATTAGGAGCAAATTTGCCTTCAATATAGTAAAAATTTTATAAATCTTCAAATTGCTTAAAAAATTATTAATAATAAGGGGTCTATAATCTTTATAAAAAATATTTTTGAAAATATATTTTATTAACTTTATTAAAAAATTTTTATTATTATTAGAAAGATTTTGAATAATTAAATTTTAAAGTTTATTATTATTATTTTTTTTTTGATATTAAGGTAACTTCTTTGGTCTTTTGATTTTTATTAATGATTTTTTTAGTAATATGATTCTATGAACCATTACAGGAGAGCATACAATTGGTTACACATATAATTTTTTTATATTACATATTTAAAGAGTCTGCTCAAATGTTTTTTACCAATTGTTGTACCTAATACCTTTGCTTGAATATTCCACTTTAAACTCTCTGAACCTGTAATTTGTATTAACATTATTGGGTTATACCTAGATATCCAGATTATCATCTCAACCTTAGAATTATTTTATTCTTAAGATAAATCTTTCAGAGTTTTCTGTATTCATTTTTACAGTTAATTTAAATATTGCTATGGTAGAACCAATATTTGTGGTCAAAGTTATATTATTTAATTGCTATGCCTTTATAGAGTTTATACAAATTCTAGCATTTACATTACTATATAAGTTCAGTACTTTAGTATACCTCTGTATTTTTATTTGTCTTTTTACTAGATTCCCAATCCAAATAGTTCATATAGGACTATAATCAGTCTATCTATATATCAGATTAATCTAATATTTTTTTCCTCTAATTTATTTTAACGGTCTGGTTGGTGATATCTCTAAGACTCTCAACTCAGAGATTCTTGTCTGTTCAGCTACTATAACTAGGTACTATGACCTTGGTATTTGTTTTTTTTATATTAGCTTTTATAATAGAGTTGGCAAAGATTTAATTATTTTTTTATTCAGGTCTTTTTACATAAACTTTTTATTATACAATTTCAATGAATTTACATAGTCACAAGGACTTATCTAGTGTTTGCATTATCCAATTTGTCAGTTTGTATTCTTTTATATAACTAGTTACACAAATGTTTCATAATCAGTCAGTCATGCTAATATGATCATTATTACAAATATTCTAATCTAATCATTAGTAATAGATACTATAATATGAATATTACATAGGTAATTATCTAAATTTTTATTGTTGATAGAATTTGAATAAACAATCTACTACTTGAAAGGTTGACAACCTGATCATTTTACTGGGTTGTTACACTTTTTTAAAGTTTATTATTTAAAATATTTTATTATTGAATTTAAATTAGATTTTCTAAAATTTTATATATTTCTAAAGTCAAAAAATATTTTTGTTTTAAATATAAATTTAAATTTTAACAAATAAATTATAAAATTATTTTTTTTAATAAATTCTATTAAATTATATATAATTTATTAAAATAAAATATTCAATAGATAACAAATTAATTAAAAATAGTAACAGAATTTTAAAATAATAAAAATTTTCCAAAATTATAAAATTATAAAATATATACAATTTAAAAATAAAAATACTTGGTTTAAATTACAGATAAACTAGTCTGAGCTTCTATTTTTTTTATAATATTTTTAATAGTAAATTTATACTTTATATAAAAATTTTAAATAAATATTCAATAAGATAAAGACATAACCTCACCATTAATATTAAAAAAAAATTAAAATAAAAATACTAAATTTAAATTATATATAAACTTAATAATAAAATTTTTTATATTTAATTTTATAAAAAATTATACTAAATAAACTAATATTAATTTATAAGAAAAGTTTGTAAAGCAGATTTTTCTGATTTTAATAATACTAAAATTATTAAATTTAATTAAAAACTCAGTAAAATATTAAATATAAAAATTTATTAATTAAATTTTATTTATTTATTTATATAATATCAAGTAGGAAAAATAGTAATACATGGGTATATCAATTGAATATAAATATATAAATAAAATATTCCTAAACTACACTATTATTGCTATATATATAATAACATCTAGTGTAATATTAACCTTTAATTTTTTGTTTAGTTAAATCTACTATTGTAATTATTAACTACAGAGGAGGGTAAAAAAAACCTTTAAGATTATTTTAATTTAATAAAAGCAGGTATATATAATGAAATTTTGAGAAAGAGTTTTAAGAATAAATTGGTCTATATTGGTATTAAATACAAATATATTATTATTGGAGTTAGAAGGTTATATAATTGGTAATCAGGCATTAATTTTTTTTTTAGTAAAAGTAGTAATTCCTCATACTGATTTTTATTCATGTTGTTTAGTATTATGAGTTTGCCAGATAATAAGTTTGAACCAGTTGAGTAGAGAGTTAGATAAAGAGATAAAAAAGTTGTTAATTAGCTTTTTTAAAATTAGTTGAAGTTGTTTATATTGATCAAGTGTAATTGTGTTTTGAATAAGTAAAAGTATTGAATTATATATAGTAGAGTTGGAAGATTGATTTTGTGAGTTAAGAATTTGAATTATAGTATGTGGTATAGCTTCTGAGAAGTTTAAAGAGCTTAAGATATTGGTGGTTTCATTAATAAGAATGTTTTGTAGATTGTAAGTATAAAGTAAGCATTGGAGTAAATGTTTAGTACTTTCATATTAATTACAATAAGAGCAATTTGGAGTTAAATAAAATAAGAAATATTGAATATTTAAATTTGACATTGTTGGTAAGTTATTAAGAAAGATTTTATTTCTAATTGAATAAAGTTTCAAATTAGAATTTTGAGAATTAATGATTTCAATAAGTAGTAGAATGTTGTTAACATTAAGAGTTTTACACATTTTTGACCATAACATTTGATGTACCAAACCAATTTGAATGAAACAATCACCATTGGATTCAGCTCACTGAGACGATTCTAATGAGCACAAGATCATGTGATTCTGATCACGGGATTATGAGATCGGGACGATTTTGATGAAAAGCACTAATTATAATACATGTGACTTGATCCTGATTGGCTCAAATTACTGTGCCAGAAATCTAGCATTTCTATCATTTCTATCATTTCTATCATTTCTATTAGATCTATCATTTCTATCAGATCTATTAGTTCTATCATATCTATCATTTCTACTATATCTAC